CGGCTAGGGTAAGTGTTAGGGTTAGGGTTAGGATGAGGGTTAGGGTTAGGGTAAGGGTTAGGTTTATGGTTAGGTTAAGGTCGGGGGTTAGGGTTCGGGTAAGGGTTAGGGTAAGTGTTAGGGTAAGGGTTAAGGGTAGAGTAAGTGTTTGGGTTAGGCTAAGGTTTACGGTTAGGTTTAGGGTAAGGGTTAGGGTTATGTTTAGGGTAAGGTTTAGGGTTAGAGTAAGGGTTAGGTTTAGGGTAAGGGTTAGGGTTATGTTTAGGGTAAGGGTTAGTGTTAGGGTAAGGGTAAGCGTTAGGGTAAGGGTTAGGGTAAGATTGGAATAATGATATCGCATTAAAATGCCCCAAGTTTCTGTCTTACGGGAAGCGTTGGAGTAGGCATTTAAATATAAATAAGAACATATGTGCGCTACCATGGAAACTCCTGCCAGCTCAAGGCTTTAATGAAAGCGATTCAAGACTGGACAGTCTACAAACATGACCAAACACTGAAATGTCGAACAAAGAACTAAAAAGTAAAATATAGCAAGAATAGACATTCCCATTTTCCATGTGTTTTCTGATAGATACTCCAGATTTTAAGTTGTAGTTTTTTAATGTCTTCGGAAAGAAATGTTTAACTTGGAGCAGTGACTGATGGACTTCGACCCAAAAATTCACACCAAATTTATACTTCTAGTTCGAAAATAATTTCCGATTAACTTAAAGGCTACGATCTGTACACTTTCGACTCAGTAGTCCATAGCATGAAGATTTCATTGTTTAAGTATCAATGATTAGAAAAGCCAGTTCCGTGCACTACATTGTGGGATTGAGATAGGACTGGCGGGTAGTGATGGTGGCTTTTGTGTTGACACTCCCCCTAATGACTGATTGATTGAGTGCTTATGTCCTCCTCAATATACTCTCAATTGCTTCTTGCGTAAACATACCGCTGTGGTTCTCCCTACTCATAACGATTTTTTTGTTTTTTGAAATGATTATAATTCACACACACAAACACACAATCCATTATGTTACTCGCGCTCAGAGAAGATAAGAGCTTCCTTGCGTTAGTAAGACACCTACTGCTGAGCGTGACTTTCATGATAAGCTTGATTAATTCTCAGGGATAAAACAGCACATTATACTGAGTTTCCTCACATTAAACAGTTTGTTTCATGGTTACTACTACTGACACTCGCTTGAGTAGTGCCTTTTTTTAAAGGACGCATTCGCTCAAACTATCGTTGTACTTTATGTGAGTATGATATAAGAAAACGATATGTTGAGTATAATTTAATAAAAGCAACATCTTGTTGATACCAGTGAATAGGCGGATTCCAGCAAGTAGTTCAGAAATAACTGGAACAAGAGGTTTATTGGCCTAACTTTTCGGGCTCGATTGATAAGTCGAAGTCAGACTTATAAACCTCTCGTTTCACCGAACGTATTTTTTGTTTCTTTTTAAAAGCAAAGCGTCTTTTCCGGGCTTATTTTAGGGGGCTACCAGACAACTGCGGCCGAGGAATGTTGAACCTAAGGGCATGCAGTCAGGCGGTACTAATGGGCGTCTGTTGGTATTTATAACAAAATGAAAGGGTTACGAGTGAGCGGGAAAGTAATTTACACGATTCAAAAAACGTTAGAGCGCCATTCACCGGCTTATGCCTACAGGTGGACGGGAACAGGCTCTTAGCATTCCTTCAAGGTCTGTCAATTGCCTGACATTTACCGAGAGCAAAACACAGCATTGTTTCCGGTATTTCTCGGGATGTGAGAAAATAACTTCTTCCGCACCCCTCCTATTGATACTTGGCAACCAGGACGGTGTTTTCTTTCTCCCGGCGCAGAACTGACCGCCAGTTGTATGGTGTCTGGTGAACAGCCAGACACCGCGGCCATGGTAACGTTTTCCATTTCGGTACTCGTAACTACCGCTTGCAAAAATCCACTACCCTGTTTGACAGGTGGCAAAAAAGGCGTGGGTGGGCTGTGAGAGGATAG